CCATCCCTGGAGGTATTTAAAAGACGTGTAGATGAGGCACTTAGGGACATGGTTTAGTGGGCATGGTGGTGTTGGGTTGACGGCTGGACTCGATGATCTTAGAGGTCTTTTTCAACCTTAATGATTCTATGATTCTATGATTCTATAATATTCTAGATCACTCATAAATGAATTCATAAATAGTCTGCAATACATGGAAGTCATTGCAGTTCATCACATTGATGCACTCTAGACTGTGGCAGTACTTTTCTCTCTCCATAGTTAAGGCTGAAACCTACTTCTTGTGCGAAGTCTTCTCTTAGCTTCTCTACAGTTACACCAAAGACAAAGGAGAAGGTTCTGCAAGTTAAGTGTGCTGCTTGTTACCTTGGTTTTGTTTTAACTTTTCTGGATGTTTTTTTTTCCCCAGTTTTGCTCAAAGTCAGCTTGAGCTTGAAAGGCTTCTCCTTCTTGTCATCTCTGTACCGGTAGTACAAGGGATGGACTAACCCAGCGGCCAGGTCCTGCTCACTGCTGGGCTCTGCTGTGGCTGTCCGTGTTATCACCCTCCCAGTGCATACTGGTGTTTCACCAGTCTAATGTTAGTTGGTACCAGGATATCTGGGAGAGGAGGAGGAATGAGTACCAGAAGACGCATCCTGTTCTTAATTTCTTCTTTATCAAGTATGCTTTTATCTCTGGTATCAGGAATTAAAACCAAATTATCCGTATTAATGGATATGACCCTCCTGTAAGGACATAATACCATTTCAAATGCTTCTCCAAGGGATCCTAAATCTGGAGAAGATTACTCCGGGAGGCTGGATTCAGACCCTTGTGTTTTCGATTGCCCTGCAGACCACTGCTTTCCAAAAGCACTAAAGTCAGCTCAGTTTCCAGGGTCCAAAGCTCTGACTTTGGGCTGCTGTAAGACAAGCATAAACCTCCTGAAGTAAATGAGAAGCTGTGGACGAATTTGGAGTCCGTTGTTTTTAATGATTAGGGGCCTCTGTCAGTATTTAGGTGAAGAGGTGTTTTCTGACATCGAGGTTGCAGGTACATACCACGTATGCAGAAGTAGCATGCAAAGATTGTTGCACAGGCATAAGGTCAAATACTCAGAAATTAGTAGATTAGAGATTAGATAGATTTAGTCACTGGTCTTCGCTAAAAACCTGGTGAGTATCCACTGAACATGCTAAGTTAATTTTCAATGTTATGTTCCCCAAACTAAAGGAAGCCCTTCTCTTTAAAGGGACTGATACGGTGACAATCTTTCAACCGTTACCACTGACACCAGGGGCAATTTGTACTGCCTCCCACTCACCCATCACATGGAGAAACTGAGGACTCTTCTGGCAACATGCTTTGGGAAGGGTCAAGCGATAGCAATTTATGGATTCAAAGGTATATTTTCCAAAGTGTTTTACATTTGTGGAACCCATGTTACAGAAGGTATTTGCAACTCTCCTGATCACTGCATCAAATACTGTGATGTGTTAGGTAACTTTGGTCAGGAAATAGATCCTCTTTATTTCTAGTGTCTTCATTTTTGGGGAAAAAAACAATAATCCAAACCAAATCCAGCCAAACAAACCCCAGGTTTTTATATGAAGGAGTAGATCCCTTCTTTAACAAACAAACTTTCAAAAATGTTAATGGTTTTTATTAGTCTATGGGCAAAATTTTTTTAAGTTATATTTGCTTAAACAGCTGCCTTTTTTTTTTTTCCATTTTAATGTAAAAACAGATTGTAAAATATTTTGAATAAATATTTTCTTTAGGATGTGGAACACAATGAATTCCTAAGTAGTTTTATTGTCTACAAGGATATTTGGGAAACAGCAGTTCCTCTTTAAGATTCTAATTGTCATGCATAAAACAGCTCAGAGGTTTCCATGGGTTGAGGGGTCTAGCCCTGTGAACCGTGCTGCATGTTCAGGGTTTTGCTCTGTAGAAGCTGGTAAATAGATTACAAATAGAAAAAAAAATCCCTATTTTGCAGAGATTTTAGTGATTAAATTAATTCCACTAGCCTTAATAAAAGTCTGTTGTGATACTTTGATTTTATTTTTTTTCCCCTTCTGTACAAACGTGTAAGTTCCCAGTGTATGTTCATGGTGTGGAATATACCGTGAGTGACTGTTGTCTTACACCTCTAGAGATGGACAGCTGTTGATGAGAGGGCAACATATAATCTCACTAGTATGGTGGAAAAAAGAAAAATGAATGGTAAACATTCCCCAGGTCAAGTGCATCCTTGGGAAGACTTATAATGCACATCACAGAGTTATGCCACTACCTTTTCCTCAAGAGAAAAATAAATACTGGTGGCTAAAATGGCAATTTCTACTACATTTTTATTTAATGATTTCTCTTCTGAACTCGCTTTACTTAGCTAGAAAGCATTCTTCTCCTCGAGTAGTAATTATTACATTCTTAAATAAAAAATAATATTTGCACTTAAAGTTTATACCCACAGAAAATATTTTACAGGTATTAGTTAAAAAAAAGATACAAGTCCTTAGTTGCAGCTAAGGTAATGTGGGTCACTGATAGAGAGTGTGATAGTGTGATAGAGAGAACAAGGGCCATTCACTGTTTAAATGAAATATTGCCCTTGGAATGTTGGGAAAACTGCACAGGAATTTTGGAAAAGGGCCTTCTGCCTTGTGTTAGGAACACTGCTGAAGCTGTCAATGTTAATTTTGTCACGACACTAACAAACTCACCCCCAGCAAATAGAGCAGTATAAACAGTAAGTGAATTTTATACTCTCCTAGTTGCAACAGTGCGGCTCTTTTGTGGGTCCAACACCAAGCTCGTGTCCCCCAGGGACCAGGGTAAGCATGAGGATGCTCGTGCTAAAAACTCAGCCTCCGTGGAGTGTCTCTCACCCCGTGGAGACCCTCGGGAGCTCCATGGCAGAGGAGCAGGTTTCCAGGTGAGTGGTGCTGGGGGGAGCAGGAATCTGCGGCGGGGAGTCGGGATACTAGTGACTCTTTGGAAAACTGGAGGGAATAATCTGATGTGCTTTGAACTCTAATAAGCCAGACTCCCAAAAGAGAAGTGATTTGAAGCAAAGACCAACTACCACATTTTCCTCAACTGGAGAAAAGCGAAGTGAAGCCAGTGAGAGACGGACGAAGCAGCCAGACTGGGGAGCAGTAATGGTTTACGGTGTGTTTTCCATAGCTGCTGTATGTTTGTTTTCCACTTCTCACCTCCCTATGCAATCTCAGGCCGTGCTCTGTACTCTGTCCTTGTTTAGATATGATGTAGCAGCAAGAAGACAAGGTGCCATTAGCTTTTACTTGAAAAGTCATATTGAAGTTATTTTCCTCTAATCTGAGGGATTTCAACCATAGCAAAGTAAAATAAAATTTAAAAAACTGGTCTAAGCAACCCCTCTAACCTGACCGTATCACAGAGAAATGAAGTTAAACACTGAATTGTATATTGCACAATTACTGCAAAATTGCTCAACTCGCTTTTCAGTCATTGGTGTCTGTTGTTCTCTGCATGAAAGAGAATGAATTTCTCCAAATTTAGGAAATGATTCCACAAATTTTAGCCTGCCATTAACAAAAAACATATGTCAGGATATATTTTACCACTTTAAAAATCAGCGCACTGAAGACATGTTTATTGTGAAGCATGTGGGTAATCCCATCCTGGCTAGTAAATGCACCGGGGTATCAGATGTGCCGCTGAGCTCCCAGGGCTGGATGGAGATTTGGATGTCTCAGCTAAGCCATGGCGACTGGCCCTAGATATGAGCTTTACCTGTCCTAAATACAGAATAATGTCCTAAGCATCGTAGAAAAAGACTTTCCCCCACATTTGGGATGGGTTAAGAGAGCATACATTGTCACTTCAGCTTAGCTGAAATTCTGTTACTTCTTAAGCTGCAGGAACTCAACTGAACGGCTGAGCCTTGAGTACCTTTTTGTAACTTCAGGCATAAGCTTATGTGGTTTGCTGAGGCAGGGCTTACATTTTGAAATTAATGCTAACAGTTATGCATGTGCTTAGTTTCAAGCACTGTCAGTACTCACATTGGACTTGGATTTATCCATTGAGGGGCTGAACTCTAAAGAAGAAACAAACCTAGTGGGATAACGTCCTGTGTAAATGTAATTCATAAATATTTGCAGAATCAGGTCTGCAGGTTCAAATATGTCCTGTAGCTATTTTATGGCTTTGACAATGTTACCTGTTCATTTTGTCACTTTTAAATTTTTTTGTTACTAATACAGTGTTTGAAATTAATTTTCAAATTTTATTCTCTGTTGATCAGGAAAAAAAAAGAGCTATCTATACAGTGTTATCATGAGTATTGACCACAAGGTGAACAGGACCCTCTATTTTGTCAGAAGCTTGCTTGTCAGTATGCCGGTGATAGATCAGATGTAAAGAAAACCACTTCTGCAAAACCAATTTGCTAAGGGGCTTGTAAAATCCATTTTTAAAAAGTTAGTGAGGCGAAAAAGTGAAGGACCAGCCAACCAGATATTTTGATCGGCTCTTCAAGGTCAAAAACTGATTATTAATTCATCAAATATCTTACTGGTAGCACTGTTTGAAGAGCAAACAACTCTGTGCAGATGTTCTACCTAGTAACTCTAATACCATGGAAAGATGGGTAGGGTAGGAACAAACAGAATTTTTACTTACTTTTGGCAATGCTACAATCATAGGAGCTGTGGTCTTCAAAGCACTGGCAGCCCAGTTCAGTACATTGTCCATTGCCGTTACAGAAAGCGGGACACCGGAGGACAGTGAGGATTTCCTCCTGGGTAGCAGATGGCTGGTTTCCTACGTGAAACGCTCTGTTTCTGTTTCCTAGCACTCTTCTTTCACATTCATTTTCCAAAAGGGCTATCAGTGCCCTCACCCAAGCCATGTCATCTTTGAGCTGCAGATCTAAAAGGCATATATCAATTGTCTCATCCATCTGTTCTCCAAGGAGACCTTTACACACTAAGCCAATGGTGGAATTTGCAAGAATTTGGTGGCAAATATCCCGAGCTTTGGCAGCGGTTAGGCCACTGGGAGTGGGCCATGCCAGTGGAAGTTTCATCCGAATCCCTTCAAAGTAATCCTCTGGGAAAAAATATGCAAAGTTCTCTGAGTCTCTCTGGCTTGGGCCATGCAATGGGTGAAAGGATGAGTACTCATAATAGTCTTCTTGCCTTTTTGCTCTCTGTAGGTCTTCTGTTTTTTTGGTAGAGCTAATGGAACTGTTTTTTTTCATGGAAACATTGTGTGCAAGGGGTTTTACCCGGTCGTCGGGGCTACCTCGCTTTTGGACTGATTTAGGCAGATATCTTTGCTCAAAAGACTTGGTCGATGGTTTCTCATCTTTTCTTAAAGTAGACTCTATTTCTGAGTGAGTGACAAATTCTGACGTAACATCTAGATACGGGATTGCAGAGGTGTAATCCACATGATCATAATGGCAACCAGAGGATTGAGGGAAAGGGGTCTGAAAGGCATTCCGCGTGTTTACCACGGGCACAGACTTAGTGCTCTCCTTTTGACATCTGCAGTAATTTTTCCTTTGCTTCCCCCCAGAAGGTGCTGGAGTCTTGTCAAACAAACTCTTCCCTGGAGGTATTCTGATTTAAAAATAGAAAGAGATTAGAGGGAGGAAACTTCCAACAAATTAGTCTACAATACTAAGTAAACTTTCTCTCCCTGAGGGTGGGGGATGAATACATTTCCAATCTACCAAAGTACTTAAGAAAATGCTTGTTTAATCTCTGTTTTCTTTAGTCACTTTTGCACTGCCCTTCTTGAGTTGTCCTGTAGATTTTTTAGCACTACATTGGGACTTTTTAGTAACAGATGCTTAAGTGCCTTGCTGGAGCGTTGCCTAACTGCTTGACTTCTCTTTGCAGAACTTTCTCTAAGGTGCAGGTTACCCTTTGCATATTGCACATGAAATAAGGCCTTGGACTTGTCCCTCGTGTGACTCAGGTGCAGCTTGGAGAATGACAAAAAAGACGTATTTGTTTCAAATGCTTTATTAGGAAAATCATCTTTATCTATTTGCCTGTGCTCTCCTTACCAGGTGTTTCCTCTAAGACTTGGATCACTACGTTTTTTCTTTTAAATGTTTTTTTCCTTTATAAATTTTTTATGCATACTTAATTTCATTCGTGTTTTCTAATGGAGCTTTCTTTGAGTTTTTCTTTTGACACAAAGCTGTTTTCTATTGATCATAGGGCTAGGCTATCACATAAGGCAAGGTGACTTTTCCCCCCTTTTTAATTTAGTCCAGCTTTAATGATGGATGAACTTCTAGAGAGTTCATTTTGAATAAACAGCCATGATTAAAGTTTCTTTGGAGATTTCATGAACGCAAGATCTCTTATTGATCTTATTTGTACAGCACAAGAGGAATCCTGGAGCTTTACAGAAAAAGATATGCTTCTTGTCCCAACAGTTGGCAGCACTTTATTTCCAGACAAATTTGAAATATCACTAGAAATTTAAATGATTTTGGCATTAATTTTATTTTGCAGCCAGAATGTAGAGATTTCAGGAAAGTGAAAGCATTTGCAAACATTTTGAACCCAGACACTACATTCTGTTGTAGGAAGTATAATGGCCTTTATCCAATTTTTCCAATATATATTGAAAATGGCATATATGACATTATTATTTTAATCATTGATACAATACCACTTTTAAATAAAACATCATAGCGACACAGGCAAAATGAACCCCTTTCTCTTTCTAAAACAGGAGCCCACACATTTATGAAACCATTTTACCCAATGTGCGGGCACAGCAGAATACAACGTGATACGACAGGACAGCTTTTGTGCTTGCAGAAATGCACAAGCTATTCTGCACTTTCCTACAATCTAGGACAATAAAGCATATTTGGTGATTGAGGGAGTACTGAAAAGACCTCTAGTCCTTTGGACAATGCAGTTGAGTGGGCGTCCTGCAGGCGCTGTTCCTCCGGCTCTGCATGGTGGTGTTACCTGCAGCTGAAGCTGTCCAGACTCGCATCACGAACTAACTGTAAACCTAAATAAAGGCAGCAGAACTAGCTCACTCTTTGAGGGAACACTACAAGAACTAGAAGCTCTAGGTAAATATCACATATTTAATAAAGAAATAGAAGTCACATAAGCTGGTCCAGAATCAGGACAGAAACTTAAAACAAAAATGAAAATTTCAGCAAAATGAAAATCTTTTGTCTTGGTATTTTATTGAAATAAATTGCTTCGTTATTCCTACGTGAAACCAAATACCTTCCTTTGATCAGCTCTGGTCAACAGGATGGTGGCTATATGGTGTGGAAAGGATGGAGCCACTGAAAACCCCATCCTTCCTCACAGGCATACACATACTGACAGCACCTCAGTGAACTGGGATGTGCCTTCTGTCCCCTGCATAAGATGACTAGACTATCATTCCTCTTAGCTGCCCATTATAATCAGGGAAGAACCAAAGTTTTTCAAACTGAGTTGGATGCTATTATAGAGAGAGAGTTCAAAATCAATAGCATTGCTGCTGGTTTCTCAAAAGATTTGAAAAATGGTTTGAAAAACATATTTTACCTACTTAAAATACATGTTTTAAAATTCAGCTCTTCCTTGTCCAGATGCTATTTAAGGGCTGGGAGGCTCTGATGTTGATTTATTGTTTAAAAGTTACATTGGAAAGCTGATGTTTAAAACAGATCTGTGCCGTTCAGAGCCCTGCAGCTGCTTGAGAGAGGCGGGAGCCAGGGAAGGAGCTGAACTGCCAGATGGTGAGCACTAAGACTAGCTTCAGGTGCTGGAGAAAACCTAACATGCTTTCAGTGTTATTTAAAATGAAATTAAAAACAGCAGCAAAAAAGTCACCCTCCAGGTTTTGTTTTTTACTGCACCATTTCTCCGTGGGTGGATCAGAGTCCGATCCAGTCTCCTCCGGAGGTGGCCTTAGCCTTTCCATTGGCTCAGCTGTTTTTTTAACCAGGTTCTGACGGGTCCTTGAGAATCCATCCTCGGGAGTACCGCAGGGTGAAAATCATCACCCCGCTTGCCCTTCTTATTTAGCAGGAACTTCTCCTGCCTTGCTTGAAGTATCTCCATCATATGCACCGAGCGCTAGGAAACTCCTCACTGTTTTATAAGTAAATTCCTATATATTGTGCTTTAGCTTCTGAACTTTCAGCAAACTTGCTTTGAACAGGTCTTCCTAAGGATCTTGTTAGCCCCCTCTTTGGATAGTCAGCAGTTCAAGTCATTCTAGCACCAAGCTATTTCTCCATTTGCCTTCACAGAAGCGAGCTCTGACTGATTATCACATTATTAAGATTAAAGATGGCTGTTGACTTCTAAATAGTGCAATTTGTAATGACAGGTCAAAATTGCCATTCAATAGCCATTATTAGGCCCATTGAATATAACTAGAATATGGTAAAGGTGTTTTTTTTCTGAAATTCAATAGGTCTAAAATTTCTTGTTCCTATAGGACTGCGCTAAGTTCCCACATACAGATTAAGTGGTATGTTAAGGTGGTTCACCTTATTTTTCCTTATTTGCAAAACATACTTCACAAAAAAAACTACACAGTCAGCCAAACCCATTTTGGTTTTGGGAACACCTGTTAGGCACATTTAGAGTTCAGAAACAGGAATTAAAATGTAGGATAGGCATAGGTAGGGGGAGAGGGACAGGGAGAGGGACAGGGATATGTCAGAGCACCAGACTCCTGGCTCTGGTTCCAGACCATCTGTCTCAGAAAGTGCAAGTTTTTAGAGCTCACTGTCATCATTAGTAAAGTAGAAATTAAGTTTTAGCATGGTACATATATTACCACACTTTGTAAAAACGTAACATTTAATCTATACTCACGTATTGTAAGTAGTGTTCGGGGATAAAAGAACAAGGGAAATACCAAACCATTAATTAATCCCTATTGTCAGTTATCTACATTTTCTAGTGTGGGTGAGAACGCTGTTTTTTTTAACAGCTGAGTGGGATCTTAACACAGCTGTTAAGATGACATCACTTGAGAATATAAAACTTCTCTCTCAGTAACTGTTTATGTGCATTGTACTGGCTGAAAATTAAGGCACCGTGCTGTTCGGATGGTAATGGGTCTCCAGGCTTCCCTCGCTAGATTAAGCAAATCCCTCTGTCAGGTCATGAGGGGAGTATGTAATGAAATAAACCTATCGACACCCCTTGAAACGGTGCTACAGAGCATCTCCCGGGCCGGGATCCTCTCTCGCTTTGTACCTCCACTCCTCTATGAAGTCTTCCTCGGGCACATTGCTCAGGTCGTTGTGACTGATCCCATCAAAGAGGCCACACAAACCTCTGGTGCTGTTGAAGTCGCTGCCCGGTGTCCTCACCGTCAAACCCATTCCCCACTCGCTCACGTCGGCTCGCACAAACGCTCCCGAAGGGAACAGGATCTGAAGAGGCAGAAAAAACCCCCAGTGAATCGAAGCTGTTACCAAGCTTTTTATGCAATGAAATTGTCCCTTTCTATAAATGAAAATATCAAAGTAGGATGTTGGCGATGGCAAAGGTAATTTAAGATCACTTAGATACTGTATAGATATTTATTTGTGCTATTATTTAGCATGCTTTCAGATTCTATGGTACTAATATCTGATAATATTACATAAATATAAACCAGCACAAATACTTTCTTTTTAAATTAATAATTACATCCATTGAAGTTTTCCCACTGGTAAGTTACCAGCTAAGTTTTGAAGTGGCTTCCATGACAATAAGGCCACCCTTGTGTCTTTGCCTGGGAAATCATTTCTTTGAGATAAACTGCCAAGTCTGAAAAACAGCTTTCTTCCCTCTGAAAAATCGTTTCATTTTCCAAGGCCAGATTACCCGGAAAATGATTGTGTTTTAAAGTGGATAAAGCAATTTTCTCATTAAAGAGCTTGTGGTAGGCTTAAACTGACCTTTAAAAGAAAAAAAATCTTGAGGTTAAGACAAAGAAGTAACTGTGTGGATAATGGATTTTTCAGACTGATGTCCCAACCAAATAATAAAAAAAGAAAGAAAAAAATCTGTTCAACTGAAATGCATTTTTGTTTGTTTGCTTTATTTTTACAGGTAGAAAGAAAATGATTTTGAAACTGATCTGTGCCAGGAGTGGGAGCAGGAGCACTCTATCCTGATAAGTAACCTGAATTTTTTTTTTTTTTTTGGATCCAAAATTAAATGTTTTCAGTTAATCTTCAGCCAACCTTAAATAGTTGGAAACATCTCATTACAATAATTTCAAAATAATTATTTTCCTTTTTTTAAGTCACCCCTGCCTAAGTATAATTTATGCAGCCAAGTAATGTCCATTCCTTTTCTTCCTTTCAGTGGGGATTTTTTTGTCCTTTATAAGTTCCTCCCCACCAAATCTATTGATATCTGTGAAGAAGCAACTAGCTTATATTTGTATTTCTGTGCTGGAATCCAGAGTTTACATTTTGGCTGCACTAAATAATAATCTTGCCCATTTTAGCTTCCCAGTCATCATTTCAGGCATGAAAATACTTTCTGGGAGCTCTCCGTGAGCGATCTCCTCGTCCAGCTGAGCAGAGCAGCAATGTGCCACTGATTGCAATAACAGCCAGGGACACTGTGCTTTGAACTCAGGCCCTCTGTGTTTTGATCAGGGCATTTAAAGCATCCTTTTTTCTAAAATTATTGGCCTTGGTGAATAATGGAAGTCATCATATAAAATCGGTTCTTTGAATACGTCAGAAGGCCTTGGCTGTACCTCTACCTTGGCTGTATGTTTCACTTCCCAAGGTAAGTTTAAAAAAAAAAAAAATATTCCCCAACATAAAGCTCAGATGGCCTGATGAGTTAATTTTTTCTTAGTGGTTTAATAGGTAGAGCAGGAGAACTGCAGCTGACACGGTGCTGGGTAGGGTTTGATTTCCTTCTTCAGATAAACATGTGCCTTCTAATTACATACTTTACTACAGGGAGGAGCATTTCCTACAAGGCTGCGTATAAAATCCTTGCAGTCAGGACTGCACGAGCTGCTTCAGTCTTCCGTGCTGTCTGGATTAATATTTCCAGGTGTGGATTTATTTCAGGAATTCGGAGGGCTGTAACCCTTTCTTTTCCTGCTGCCCTGGGCAAGGCATCCCATCTGCCACTGAGGACCTAACCACCGCCCAGGTTTTCTGTAAGCCACCTGGATTTAACGCTGCTGATTGAGGCTTTGAAGAAGCTTTTTTGAGACCTCAGTTTGCAGAGATATACAGTGACTGGCTGCTGGAAGCTGCTACCTTGCACAGAAAAGAGAGTGACTTAACCCCATTCAAAGCATCAGCCTTGAACGGCACGGGAGCGGCGGGGGAGCCGGCTCCTGCGCGGCACGAGGTTGGCGACGGGCAACTGCTGAGCAAATTGGGCTGCACCGCGCACAGCGGCCTGATCAGGGACCGTATTCGTTGCTGCACAGTTCCTACAGATTCCCATTCAGATCAGGGCAGGATTCATGTCCGTGTCCCGGGGGTGTCCTGATTTGTTTCACTGGGACTTACATGAAGTGTAAATGAGAATAGGGATTCCTTGCTAAGATTATTCTAGTAATAAAACAGTAATTATATTGCATTCAGTTGCAAAATGAAATGACAGCTTGCTTCCTGCTTTTTCTCTATTCTATAATTAACAGACTTTCAATTACTACCTTACCAAGATCTATTCCAAGCGAGATCACAAGGAGAGCCAAACGCAGGCACTCCCTGCATTGTTCTGGCTCCATTGTGGACCTATCTGCACCCAAAACATTTCCTGGCAATAAATCTTGATGATACAACCCTAGGATAAAATTATCTTCTTGGCTGTAATTTGTGGCTCTTCTCCTCACCAAAGCCCCTGGTGCAGCCTGCTCTTACTCTTCCAGTGATTTCACTGGATTAGTGTGGATAAGTGATACTCATGCAAAGTATGTTGTGGCCATATATTTTTTAGGCAAATACTTTAAGTTATACCAAATGTTGCACATTTGCAGCCCATTTTCATGGCTTTTGGGGGCTATCTGGATCTGACTAATATTGCCTTACTGTTCCACTCTAAACCTACATTATTCTGCTACCTGTGATCCTTCCTTGAATATTTATATCGTAAGCTCTGCAAAGAAATTTGCTTTATGTGATGCAGTTGGGTAGTGCCTAGCATAAACAAACTGCGAGCGGATTGCCGTACTGCGGAGAGAAAGTAACAATATTGGCACTCCGCTACGTCCCCGAGAATTTTCCAGAGGTATTTTTCTTTTGTTTTACAGTTTGTTAAACTAACACTTTTCCCTGCATCTCGTTTTTTGGTACATTTTGCTTTAGGCTCTCTTATGGCTTCAGATAGATATTTTTGTAGCAACTTCATTAATAATTCAGAAATATTAAACTCACATTTTAAAAGAACAACAACAACAACAAGAGTACTCAAATATCCACGTACTGTTATTTTTCTCCCTCCATAGGACTTAAGGATTTTGACATGTGGTGATGCCTCAGTGCTTTTGACAGCTAGCTGGGGTCTGCTCTCCCGAAAATGGCCATTGCAGGTGTCCAGCACCACGGTGTCACCCCCCTCTCGCGCAGCTACGCCGCAATTGCAGGCGGTGGCGGAGCGGTGGCCTCCGCAGTCCCACTGCCGAACGTGCACTTCAAATGCCCGCGACACGCTCCGGCACAGAAGGAAAGTGCCGATTTTATAGTTATCGTAGCGCCTAAAGAGCAACAAACAAAAAAGAAGATTTAGAGACCCAGAGCATCCCCCTGTGACGGCTGTTTGTTGGTACTCCTATAACAGCGCTCCTTAATTAGGCCAGCGTGCTGGCTGGCCTTGAAGGAGGGAAAAATCAACACACGGGGAAGCGTTTCTCCAGCACCATAAGCAAAGGACCGCTGTCGCAGTTATTAGCTGGAAGTGCATAAGAATTCATGTGAAAAGCGGGTAGCTGTCTCCCAGCTGCTGCTATGGCAACGGGCATGGATAAAAAGGATAAACACTTGATAAAAAGCAAATGGGAAAAAGTCCCTGCCTCCAGGCCTTAATAAATATGTTTTGGTTCTAACCGGATGCTTTACAGCATGATATTCTTCAAAGCAAAGCCAGTGCTCAAATAACCTTTTCTGTGACTAATCACTAACTTTTACAAGACTGACTGTGGCTAGGTGAATACTTCACGTGAAAACCTGGGATTCTACTGAAAACCTGTTAAAGTGAAGCTGGTTCCCCCTCTCAACAACTTTCGCTCTAAACGGATTAGCGGTCAGCACGGTGCAGTGTGTTGAACAATTTGGGACTCTCATTCTTCTCTGTACAAAAGGTCCTTGCTCCATCTGAGTGAGGCCACGAGCAGAATAACTTGAATAACTTTGCAGGAGTTTCCCCTCTGCACGAGCCAGGTAAAACTCCTCCCAGCTGCAGCCCCTTGGGTTTCCACAACAGGGACCTGCGAGAGGATCCTCCTCTGCTTGTTCTTTGTTTTCCCACTCCATAAGCTTGTCTTATTCTTACTCTATTTTATTCTAATGAGATGTATAAAAGTAAACAGCAGCTGTATGCTTTATGTATGTTGCTGGAGTTTTCTCCTCACACCCCAACAGCTGCCATCTTTAAAGACAATGGATTATTCTACTTCCTTTTAAGGCACTGCATTTAGTTTTAAACACGATTTTTAGGCAATTAAGTACAATGGAAACTAAGCTATAAGCTTATAATAATAAGCATTATTCTTTTCTACAGTAAAAAAGAAAATGTAAAAAAGTGTATAAAATAACTAAGCTAAATAACAGGATTATTTTTAAGCACTGTCATACAAACATCAATATTTTTTCAGTCTGTTAATGTTTTCCATACAGAGGAACAAATGGGTAAAGAACCAAGATTTTTTAGCATGTATATATCTGCATTTTATTTCTCTTCAGAATAAAAGCCATAGAAAACTCTGTAGCTTAAAACACAGTAGGAATTTAAACTCCAACTGCTTTTCTCGGCTAGAAAACACGCGTGACTTTATCTTTCATCTTGAAAAACTTAGTGAAGTTGGCCTTAAAACGATAAGATTTTGAATGGTTCTGTCTCATCTTATTTTCTAATCAGGTACATAAATCCTAAGTACACTGCGCAGATGCTGTTGCTAAGATTGATTAGAACTAAGGACAACATAAAAAATAGATAATCTCTTTTAACATCAAGTACTAGCTCCATTTGGACATCTTCACAGGAGAGACAGAGGAGGCAGGATATTTTATGAGAATCACCTTCCACAGTTTCCTTCGACAGGGGGAGCTTAGAAGGAAAGGTGTTTAGAGAGCTTGATGGAAAATAATGCACCAGAATGGCTGTACCCAGACTAATCAGCTGTATCTGGTAAATAAGACTGTGTCAGCGTATGCATATAAATATCATTGCAGTTATGGGAGCTTTTTACTGCTTAATAAGCATTGACAGTGGACCCAGTCCAACTCTCCTGGAAGTCCCTTAGAGTCCTTCAATTAAGCCATGGTATAGATTGCATAGCACATAACAAATCTGCAATGTGTCTAAACGGAAACTTTCAGCTGCCTTTGAATTACTTGAATGGATAATTGAATGTAGTCAGGTAAACTTTTCTGATGTTTATACAACTGTAATTGTGATAAGGACTCTTTGGACAATATTTGAGAAATCAAATTGCAGCCTTGTGGTGCTAAAAGCATAAAGTAGAGTTCCTGGAGCTCTTGCATGAGGGAGCTCTGTGCGTTCTTTCTGAACCAGGCGCCACTGCTTGTGTCTAAATTGCCCTCCACAGTGCACTTCCACATCCTGCGGCCCTAACAGTCTGTAGCAACGGGTGTACTGGGTGGAGGGTGGTTGCCTCCCTCCCCATCTATGTGTTTGGGTTGTTTTTCAAGGGGTGCAGCAAGTTCTTGTCCCAGCATGAAGTCATGGCTCAAGTTGTGCTCTTAATCCAAGAATTATAAAATGTTACTAAGTCTTTGGTTATGACAGTGAGATGCTATAGGAATAATTTCTGTTGGTTCACGATAAGAGAGGGACAGAAAGGAATATAAATGTATGTAAACACCGCTAGTACCTTTAATTAACCAACACAATACACTTACTATTCACCAAGCTGCACTTCATCTTTTTATTAATTCAGTTATTATTGTGGCTGCTCCTAAAGTTTTTCCACCACAGTTTTGCCACCAAATGGTTTCATTTGTTGATCTGTACCTCCAGGCTCTCTCTTTCTTTGCTAGTGAGGACTATTTTGTGCTAGTTGTGAGCATAGGAAGTGCTGGGCGATGCTGGAGGGATGTCCTCTGGATTCAGAGCGCTCATCGCTAGGGACTGACTGCGTTGTTCTCAGGGGGCGAAGCTGTTGGGTTGTGTTCAGCAGTCACCGGATGCTTAGAGATGTAAAAACTTCTACAGACCATCAAAAAGAACAGCACCTCTGGGAGGGCTACTCGTGCCCAGGATTTTAGCTGTGGGCTACTGCGATAAATGCCATTAAAACCATCCACAAGCGTGAAGCTGTGCCAGCTGAGGGATTCTGTGGGATATGCCAGCTGAGGGATATCCGATATTGATGGATAGAGTAGCGTAAATGCTTGAGAAATCTCAAAAATCTTTTTTCTTTTTTTTTAAGTTAAAATGCAAAATAATATGAATGATATATATAGTTCACCAATCAAGAAATATTTCCCTTTTTATATTTTGCCTTAAAAGGATTTTCTGCATATTTAGTTTTAAGCTAGTACTTCATATTTAAGAATCTACAATTTATGGCATGAAAAGCTTTTATATTTATAATGTGCCATAACTAGTAATGAGGGCTACACTTTTGCTTTACCAGGCTTTCACATTTGTTTAATTTAGAAGGTACTTTGCTATAAAAGGAAGTGCTCTCTCTGGATTTTAGCTAGTATAATTAATGCTATTTCACATCTATGCTCCAATATACACAAATTGATTGTGCTTACACTGTAAAATATGACACATTCTTCTTTGATTTTCAGTCATTTCCTTTGGTCAAAAGAATGGAAAGATTACAAGATAAATATTTCTACAGAAATATATTAACAAGAGGCATACCAAAGGGGAGTGTTATCATTAGAAGTGGGAGTTAGGTGTTTCAGTTATCTAATAAAGAGCTAACTGCCTCAGATGTAATGTGAGCTCAGCATGTCAGATTAAAAATCATTGAAAACATCACTATAGAAGTTACAAAACGAAGTATTATTGCGAAATCTTACAAATCAACCTATACATTGGAAGTGACCATTTCAGTAGGAAAATTTTACTACCAAAAAAAATAATCTTCCAGTCTTTGGATTTTCATTCCATTTAGCAATTTCCCAACAAATCTGCTGAAGAAATGAGTAGAATCAATATTTTTAAATTAAGTTAAATTTTGATGAGCTTTGTTTTTCACTTAAATTTTGGAAATCAAAAAGGTTGCAATTACTATTTTTGTGTCTGCTTTCATCCTTGCTTTTCTCCATTGTGCATTTTTCCTTCTCTTTGCTGTTGCTAATGGGAAAGTCCAAAAAGGTAAACAACTCTGTGAAAGGCAGGAGTATGTTTACAGCCATGCCCATTTGTATAGAAAACACTCCTACCATTTTGCTGTTGGCAATGTTCCCCATCTTCAGACTTTCCCTTGCTTTTCATGTGACGGTTCTTCAGTGAGCCATCCCCAGGACTCAAGTGGGTGGAAAGGGTGCCAAAGAGACAACTGATCACCACCCATCCACAGCAGCTCTGCCTACAACATTTTGATCTCGAAGTCTGCTGTCTCCTGGTAAGCTGACCTACAGGCTTTGTGGTGGAACAAATGGTTTTCCTTGGGTTATATTGTTTGATTGATGCTTTGCTGTTGATCTCAGAATCAGTTTTGATAGTTTCTTTATTGAGCTTTGTTTCGGGCCACCTTTGTACCATATACAGGTGGGTAAAGGCTGCTATTTCCTTCAGTTCTCTTGGCTAATTTTGGATGTTTCTTTTCTTTCCTGTGTAACGTTCTTACCTGAGCCTGCGTCTACTGATCACTTACAGTTGACGTAGCTCCTGATGCCCAAGGGCTGATGCTCCACTCATCCTCTCAGCCTATTGCTTCATAGTCCCTAGGAGAAGTTTCTCTTAGCTTTTTCCTCCTCTCTTGCTTTGCTGTTTACAATCTGCAGATCACTCTATTTCTGATACTTTTTTTATTATTGAGGGACACTCATATGCTTTCTTACCTGAGCCCACAAGATTTTTGCAGAATTCTTCCATTCACAATACTTAACGCACACCTAATTTCAAACACAATTTCCCACCACGTACCTTTCACGACCAAAGGGGAATGCTTCAGTTCCATACCTCTGTGTCAGCCTTTGTCTTTAGGTTATACGTTTGTATCAGGACAGAAGCAGGAATTGCATTCCCCTCTCCTTAGATACCGAGCTTTAAAATCATTTGCTAACGTGTTAACGTTTTTTGGCCAGGCAGACAGAGAAGTTGCTTAACTGATGTGTAATAAGGTGGCATAATCATTACAATAATTGAAAGAGAAATTATTTACAATAATAAATGGGAATATAAGTAGGTGTAATGGGACTGTGAAATGATGGGTAAGAAACTTGGCAGAATGTCAAGAAGTGATATATCTTAGTGAAATAACCTACTTATTGAGATGGCAGAAGCCCCATCAACTTGGCTCATTTAAAGCTACACTGGACAAAGCAGTAATGAACGTCCATCCACAGGGAAGAAACGTGCAGTTGCTGAGGGGCCAAGCTAATCCTGGGATTTTTCCATGTCAAGGCTGTGTGACTCTGAGGCCGGGTGCCACAGAAGGACGGGCTTTTCCAAACTCCCTGTGCTCAAATATAATCGTAAATTGCTTAGAAGCATTTCTGTGTGCTATCAATAACAGGGTTGTAAATGAGTTAGTCAAATAAAATTGCTTTATTTTATTTTAGACCTTTTTTTCCCATGGAAGCTATGTAAAAATGTACTACGTGGCTGAGAGTGTTCCCCTGTTCCGAGAGGTATTTTCAGTAATTTATGACCTCCTAAACACAACCACCTGGCAGATCACTGTCCATTCTCAGCCCTAAATCTGAAAGGAATATTTTAGAATACAAATTGTTTTGTATTGTAAGTTTTGAAATAATATTATTACTGAGTTTAATATCCCAGAGTTGAAATAATTGCAGATACCATGAGGCACAGGAATGTCTTTGCACCTCTTGTAGCTCTTCCGCAGCTTCTACATGTCGAGCAACAAAACTTGCATGAAACAAGTGCCTGACCACATTTTAAATGATATTCAGCAAAGCGGGGGGCGGGGGGAAACCGGAAAGCCCTAGATGTGCAGGGCTAATCTCCTAGCGGAGACTACCCAGTTTAGGTGATATCTTTATTTGAGGCAGACGTATAACCTTTAATGGAGCTACTGCCTTTCTTCCTCTCATTTCATCAACAGATTTCTCCAGCTTTGATGTCATTTCAGATGCTACCTCCAGAGCATGCTAGACTGAAATTGGGGCATTAGGATATCAAAATTAGAATATCATGCCTGCCAAGCCCCTGTGGACGCTGTGCGCCTAAAGTCGTTATCTGTGCCATTAGGAGGTTAACAGTGGAATGACAAACCTGGAATGTGATCTGAAATATTAACAACTTTGGATCAAATGTGCCTAATGCAAACTTTAAAAAACTTTCTGTTATATTAAATAGCTGGGGCAAATAGATTCATGAATGATTAGGGAAATTAACTGAAGAAAAGTTCTATACAGTACAGGCTGTCAAACACAAAGGTACCACCTTTGGCTCAGTATGTCTTTAAGCAACTTATTGCTGGATAATACAGGAGGACATCTGGACAGTACAGGAGGATG